TGACTAGCCACCGCACCTTGACCATATCTTTGGGTTACGTTGACCAAATTTTTGGGCTAAAAATTTGCAGTCTCGTTAAAAAGTTAGGCACGAGTCACTACAATCAAACCTGGACCGCGTCGAGAAAAAATGCAGTGCAATTCAATGCAAATGCAAGTCGAAATCGCAACCTCTGAGTGACATGCATCAAGAGTAAACAGAGTACATCATACTTCAACACGACCTTTTTTTTATCCCCAAATGTCCCAGAGTAACCTAGTGGTCCGTAACCTACCTCAGATACGGTTTCGGTCACTCAAAAACACATTGGATCTAGAGTCCATACTCTTGAGAACATTGACAAGAAAAAGGACTCTTGATTCAAGCAGATTTAAGCTTAAATCAAAAGGAAATCCACTCAAATTAAGAGGCTTGGTTCTTGATTTAAGCTTAAATCTGATTGAATCAAAAGTATTTTTTCTTTTCGATGTTTTTAAGAATCTGGACTCTAGATCCAATGGGTTTTTTCCAGTGGTCAATTTAATAAAAAATTTAGTCGATCAACCAAGTCCTCTTAGAATAACACAAAATAACCCAAAAAACGGAAATTTTTAACATGCGCGAGTCTGGGTGAATGAATATCCGCGGATGAGAGTCAAAAACCTGGCCGATTCGGCATCGCTGCCATAAACCAACGGTCGTATATTATTGCGTCTGCTTTCTCTCTTTCTTTTAGCTCTGTTTTTCTCCACCGCCTGCTACTTGCCTCTCTTTCTAGCACCTCTAGCAGGGGGCCGGCCCGAGCAGTTTCCCCGCGACAATGTGAACACATCCTCGTCGTGTTGTGCTACGCCGTGCCCTGTGACCCGGTCCGTTCAGTTTTGACCCCGAAATACCGGGCCTCTTCCGTTTTGACCCCAAAATTCCTCGCACCCCAAATATCCCCGTCCATCCTCGCCCGACCTCTCTCCGGTGGCCGAGACACTAGAACATCCTATCACTCTTCTTGAAAATGTTACTCCAACATGTAAATCATTTTTGAAGCTTTTGTCATTATCTGGGGCCTTTTTTTTATAAAACTCTGCGTTTTGAGTAAACTTTAAGGCTATGCTTATCCGTTCCCTTTTATCGCAACATTCGATCATTCACTTTGAAGAGAGTGCATAGAGTTTTTTTTGCTCGAAATTTCATGTTCATTTACCGACCGTCGAGCTTACAATTCAGGATTTTAAGAAAAAACGTCCATCACAGACGGAAAAAAATTAAGTCACAAGCGGAAAAAGTCTGTCAAAGAACAGGTAACGCTCGTAAGCTTCTCGTAAAATCATGAAGTCTGATAAAAGGTTGAAAATGACATATTTTCTAGAGGACATGTGTTTTTCTCCAAGCCATGTTCAATTTTTCAAAAATACTCCACCCGTTTTTCGAAAAACATAGCTTGCGCACTCATGCGACAATAATGCTGTTTTTGCCGCCGGGGTATATCTTTCCAAAGAAGTTCAAATTAGTAAGTTGAACTATACTCGAGACCACGATAGAAAAAGGCTCCGTGTCTAGAATCTTGGTTATTCCTAATTTTAGCGTCCAAACTCCCATGATTCCCTCAGAATTCACTTTCCCCCGAGATGAAGCACCTTCAACTCCAGCAGAAACTTCAACTGAGTGAACGATTTTCATGATGTTCAAACGTAATGTAGTGCCCTCAACAACGTTATCCAAAAACAATGCAGACTTCGTCGAGCTCTCTTTTGGTTTTTTGCTAAAGGCGAAGTCGTAGCACCCTTTTAAACCCTCGGGTGCGTTGTACTGGTGTTGTGTCTCGTGCTGTGTTTCGTGGTGTTGTATATGGGACAATCCAGTCTATTCCACTCCAGTCCAGAGGAAGCCACAGAAAGGGACTCTGAAAGGGAGAAAGGGATTTTCGGTTCTTGCGCCTGTTGTCGGGTACGGATCTACATGTTATATCTACATGTTATTGTATGTTTCCGGCTACAAATTTTAACTGCACTTTCGGAAAAATCGACGCTGACATTCATTCCTAGATGTCTCACAGTAGCCTACGGTTTTGGTCGATTTGACCCAAAATTTGGTCGACCAACCGAGTTGTTTTGACCTGACCGAAAGAAGTCACTCAAGTTAACCCAAACGAGAAAAAATAACACTTGGAAACGTGGTCGTAATTGTATTTAACAAGGTGGTAAAATAGTGCTGGTTCCACGCTATTTTGCGGGTAAAACAAGGCCAGAAAGTTCACAAATTTTTAATTTTAGCCAAATATTTTGAGCTGTAATATGTACCAGTACAAGATTTGGGGGGGGGGGGGAGGTGTTCAGCCCTGGAAGCTTGCATTGAATCTACTGATGTGATCTACTGATGAGGTCTTAAAAGACCAAAAACGTTATAGACCTCTCGGCGTGACCTCAACTTAATATTCCAACGCAAGCTGCCTGAGTTGATGACTCTCCCCCTTAGTCTTGTACTGGTCCTCATTATAGCTCAAAATTGTTGACTATAATTGAAAATTCGTGCACTTTTCGGCCTGAAAAATAGTATGAGCGCAGAACTATTTCACCACCTTCACTGGAAAAAAAACACATTGGATCTAGAGTCCAGACTCTTGAAAACATTGACAAGAAAAAGGACTCTTGATTCAAGCGGATTTAAGCTTAAATCAAAAGGAAATCCGCTCAAATTAAGAGGACTGGTTCTTGATTTAAGCTTAAATCTGATTGAAGCAAGAGTATTTTTTCTTGTCGATGTTTTAAAGAGTCTGGACTCTAGATCCAATGCGTTTTTTCCCAGTGTTGTTAACCCAAATTAACCATTAAAAAGGAAATTTTTAAGTGTGTGGAAGCTTCGTCCGAGCGCAAAGTTGTCTTGGTCGAGGTGTAGAGCTTATTGTTAGATGGCGAAATTTTGATAGGTGAACAATCTCGGTGAGTAACTGCATTCTTCCGTAGATTATGAAACGAATGTATGCACCGCGCGCTGATCGTAACTTATCAGCAAGCGCCGAGCCCGCGCGGCGCGGCATGGCGCCCGAAGCGTGCATTCCTGAAAAATCGTAGGCGGGTCACAGTTATCTTGAGGAAACGTGCCCGAATGCACCCAGGCTTTGCACCTTACTCTAGGTCTCCCCGTGGAAACAAAACAAACGCGGATCTGGGTTAATAGCGCAGTCATTTTGCAACCGCAGAGCGGAAATCTTCCGCCTTTCCCTTCACCTTCGCTTATGTTTATTTTAACCGTCGGTTTGTTATATTTATATTTTGTTTTGTGGCTTTTTTTTCGCTCCGGCTCATCACCGAGTCGTAAGGAGGTCAGCATATCGCCTCGCGTTTGACCCCCGTTTGGGGGCGGTTATCGCTGGTCAGATAAGAAGGCACTCTCGATTTTCGGTGCTAGCGGTGATTTTTCGTCGCAAGTTGGCAACTGCGCCTATTTAAACTCTTATGAAACTATCGATGTTTTTTAATTCAGGTTGCCTACGTAACTCAGAGGCGGTAATTTAAAATGGGTGTCATTAAAGGGAAAAAAAGTGTGGCCAACTTTCGGAATTTGATATACTCAATACCATAATGTGTAGTAGTACTGAATAGTGCGGATTCCACACTTCATTCATAATAATTAGTTTTCTCTCCAATTTCTTTCAACATTTAATTTCAGCGAGGAAACACTAGGGAAAGCTCGGGATCTTTTACTTCAGAAACACTGCTTTATGCTCCTTTCAGTTGAAAAATTACTTTCGGAGGTGATCACTCAAATTTGCATCAATGACATCGGATAACCCGATTTTAATATTTTTAGTAAACAAGCCCTAGTTAGAGTAAATTACGAAACACTCGATTTAAAACTCAAAGTTGAGGTTTACCTTCTTTCAAATACCCCCTCTGGTTTATGAATTTCAATACCTACCCCAGCTCTAGAATATTTTTTACCGATGAGCTTGTGTGTCATATGATTTGATGCTCAAACGAGTGTAGTTTTACCTTCCTGCAAAATCTGTTTAATCAGTTGGCAGGCAACAGAATGAAAGTAAACACTTTAACAGATTCGGTGGAAAACTGCTGCCGTGATCACGGATGTTTGTCGGTGATTTTTTGGTAAAATGACGTAGGGAGCCGCTATGTGCATCTGATGGAGGAGCAGTGGTGTGGCGTGCTTTGCGATGTATCGATTGATCTGCCAATTAAACCTATGGAAAAGGAACAGGATGTTCTCAACGAACGCCTTAATAATCGATTCCATACCATAGCTTCAAATGAGAAAATATCGATAATCGATCTTTCACGCCTCTCCATTGTTAAGGAGATCATAACTATTGATGTAGCTATGGTTTTGAAAAAATATGAATATGAAACTAATTGTATCTCACCCGCAGGGAATTTGTGGAAATCCTACCATTATGTAAAACTGCCAATTTTAACTATCAGCACGATAAGAATTTTGTTTCTTGGGTAAAATTAATCTCTTTTAAGTTCATGCACCCTCTTTAAATGATCAAGTATCAAGGATCAAAATTAAAATTTCCAGGACTTTCATGACATTTCGCATGGAATCTGTATAGCTTCACCTATAGTAATAGCTATCGAAGTTTTCATCGTTCAAGCACGATAATTTCGGAGTAGTTAATCGTTTCCCGCCGAGATCAATGGACAAAGCGTTACTTATCGATGACCCAGGAAAAGGAATTCCAGGAGAATGTGAAAAATGTCTATGCCTACAGCCAATCACATTTCTCCGCTTACAAATGGGTACTCCGAGTTTTGTAAGATCAGTACAGTAGATTTTCATAATTTTTCAGAAATTTTTGATCAGAAGTATCCTTTAAGAAGCCATTTTGTCAATTACTCGTGTTTCAATAAATATTCGTAATACGATATTGCATACAGGGCATCGACATTATTCGCATGGCCTGTCAATCCGAAGATTAATAAAGTCAAGTTTATATGAAATAAATCTTATATTTTAGAGGTGATTTCAAGACCGGTTTTTGACCATTTCTTCCCGTTTTGTTTCAGCCCTCTGGATGGAGGAAGTTACGAAATATAGTACAATGGACACCTTTTTTTCAAACGTACAAAAAGCAGAGGTATCCCTGGGTGCAGCTAGCCGGTCACCAAGGTAAGAAAATCAAAAACTTGGAATTGGGTCAAACTTATCAGTGAATACAGCGTGTTGCTGAGTGATCAGATGACGTATCATATCTTTCATTTTTTTCAACGAAGCATTGATTCCAAAAACGATAGAATTGACTTTCGGCAGGAGAGATAGAGAATTACAATCACATTATTTTAATTTGAAAAAAAATGAGGCTGAGATTCGTTAGACTAAGTGTTCATAGACCGGCAAAAATGTCTCCTGGGTGCACGGAGATGTATTAATTGTGAGTTCCTAAAAATTATGAAAACTTACGTTTTCTCGGAGAAATTTTCCAGTGACATCCTAGACTCCTCTTCCCCCTAGCGACACCTCTCTCTGTATATTTTAGACATTTCTAGTAGTTTTAAAAGTGGCGCTTTTAACATTTCAACCATATTGCTTTGCGGGGAAATTATTTCTTCGAGGTTTGTCCCTTAGAACACTAGTACAGGATTTCCTAAACGAAATCTGATGAGACGTTGGAAAGCAATATCTCTACAGAGCTATTATTTTAAAAATGTAATATTGCTATTGCATAAAAAGAGAACCGTATAAGTAGGCTAAAATTTTGCTATTGATCAATTAATATTTTTTCATTCGAAGTGAATCGCCCATTGAGTAAAATCAGTGAATTAGCTCTTAACCTATTAACCCTTTACGGCCCTCGCGGCGTAGCAAAAATAGTCGTTTCATCACTAACTTCACGATGGACAAATCGCTATCGCAAGCCATCTCCAATCCTAACGTTCGTGCTCTCATGAAATCAGACCATTTTCCGCCGACAATACAGCGTCAGTGATTACGACAACCCAAAATCAAACCGATTACTTGAGATTAATTTTAGAGTCATCATTGATGTCAATAGTGATTAGCTCCGTATTTTTATGCGCGCACGTCAAAGGCCCTGCACCGTTCGCAAATCGGGTAAAATAATTCGTATTCCTCTGCAGTTGTGGTAGCCATCTTGTTCGAATCTGACAACTGCGGCGTTATATTTGAAGAAATAGTTCTGAAATAGCGAAGCCAGCAGTTAGCACCATGACGTCCGACGTTAATAATAATGATCACTAAAAACGTGAGCATTATTATTAACTTTTGTTGTGATCTTAATTTTGTTTGCGCCCTCGGTCCCCTTTTAACCCTTTTAGCGCTTTTAAATATAACTCACGAGGCACTGCACCGTGTTCGGGTACCTCGATAAAAAGTCGGAGCACACTTTCGTCAGGAAAGACCATTCTAGAACATTGTTTTCGATGCATGATTTATTCCAACGTCATTATTCTTCACTGTTTATTATCGAGAAAATTTCTTTAAAAATGTATATTAAAAGAGCGCCTCTATCATTTAAGTAAGCTCTCCTTAACTAGCACGCGCCTGAAGGTTCTTTTCTAAATCTTAAAAAATAAAACAGCCTAACAACACCACAAGTTGCCTAAAGCTCTCTCGTGTTATTTATATGTGACGAGAACAAAACACATTCAAATTTTGTGGGTAGTTTTTTCATTATCTGTGGATAATTCACAGAATGTTTCCTGACACTGTACTGTTCAATTCTCTCGTAAAATATAAAATGAAACGTGGCAACGTGAAATGCAGTTAGACTGATTCTGGTTTAATCTGTCCAATAAGATTCTATTTCGCAATTAGGAACCACCATTTCTAACTCAATTTAGAACGATGTACGAGCCGATAGTTTCTCTATACATTTACGTACTTTTACCGATGAACCAAATACAGTAGTTCCTTATTACTAAATGCTGTCAAATTGGACTACATTTTGCAATTCAGAGCTAAAATTTCTGGCTCAGTTTAGGAACAACGTATGTACCATCAGTTTCCCTATATACGTATGTGTTTTTACAGATGAGCTAGAAATCGTAGGTCCGAATTGCAAAATGCAGTCCAATTTATCAACCATCGAAGTTAATGCAAATCTTTAAACCCTCTTTGAACTATAAACAAATCATTCTGAAAACAACTATTTCTCTTGATTCCTCCTTATTTGGACTACGTTTTGCAATTTGGAACTAAAAATTCTAGCCCAATTTAAAAACAACGTATGTGCCATTCCTTTCCCTATGCACATAAGTGTTTTTCCAGAAGATTCAGAATGTATAGTTCCAAATTGCAAAATGCAGTCCATTTCGTCGTCGGGTGCCGACCGAAGCGTCACAACCCTCTATTTAGTTTAATGGAGCCTGCAATGATCTCCTCATATGGACGTCTTGCTACCAAACGGAACTATGTGCACTATGACGTGAGCCCTGTTATGCATGCATTCTTACGGGTCTCAGAGCTCATGTCTTAATGCGCATAGTTCCGTTTGACAGAAAAACGTCCGTATGGCCCTCGGGTTCAACGATTTTTGTGCACCGACCGATGGACCTACGTGAAACTTACCACAACTTTAAAAACTCGTTTGCTGGTAATAACCAAGTGCCGCGCCCTTTAAGCTAACCCCACTCATCGGCACTGCGACGCTTACTGCCATTTTGCACGCAAGTTGTTCACCGATGCGCTCGCTGCGTGCTGGTGGCATCGTTTTGAACTTGCCGCTGAACGCACGCAAACACTTCATCGAACGATTGAAACACTCAATCCAATAGACACAGAGACTATAAATTCTAGACGATTGTGACTTACACCAAGGTACGTACAGACCTACCTTAAAAAAAGTAGACCCCGAGATAATTTCTTCGCGGTTTTTCTCCTATTTTGGAGTGGGCGTTCATTGCAGCCCACTTTTTTTTTTTTTTTTTTTTTTTTTTTTTTTTTTTTTTTTTTTTTTTTAACGACCTTTATTAGAAAATACAAGGAAATATAAATGACCTGCAACAAATGCAGTATATGTAAGTGTGATAATAATAGATAGGTTCAGAGAAAGAAAGAAATTAACAATGCAATATATAACAAGGTAATAGAAAAGAATTAATGGATTATGTGACTCCTTGAGTCAAGGAGGAATCATACTTTGAACTGGCCACAGTGGCGGGTCCGGGGAGGGGGCGTCCATGGTAGCGTATCCGCTAAAAAAGGACAAAAGGGGGAAGAAGGAGAGAGAAAAAGTTTTCCTGAAAACTTACTGAAATACTTTCAAGACAGAACCATAAAACCAAAGTTTACCAAACTGAAGGTTACTCAATACCGCAGAAATTAATACGTAGTCCTTGTACCAATATAAAATTACGCTAAAAGAGGCATTATTCGTCAATTTTTAACTCTCAAATAATGCACAAATTGTATGCTAAAACTGCTTGGAATTCAATTTGCAAGGTCCTATTTTTAAAAAAATTTCGGGGCCCCCGACCCCTCTTGCCCCGGGGGATCGATCTGGGGGGTCATAACTGACCGAATGTTTGTGAGACATCATAATCCTTATTTCAATTTCCTTTTGATTTCTGTAGTTAAATTGTCTTTCAAAATTTAATTAGGCTTTGAATTTTTAAAGGAGGGCTGACGAATTCTGACACCTTTTAGGCAATATAATGACCCCGTCTCGTCAACAGGAGATCTCTATTGTCTCAGATTTTGCCGACTGTTTTCCCTATCTAAGAATGAGGAAAACAATACCTCTATTAGCAGAAATTGACGTGCTACAACACGTGAGTCTAGAATTCGAGAAGAGTGTCTAACATGAGTAAAGTTTCATTTTTGTGAGACGGAATAAAAGTAATATGCAATCTGCCATTGCCTTGCCCTGGAGAGGAGGACGTTCAATTTACCTACTTTGTAAGATCGCTTTGCGCAGCCGTGCGGTTCGCAGTTTTCTTATGTTAGTCGTCCTCTTTGCACAGATTGTTTAAGTCGGTGCTTTTTAGCTCGTGACACGCAATGAATTATTTAAATTGCCATAAGCTACTACATCCTAACTCCTCACCTCACTTAAACCACAACAAAGTATCGTGGCAAATTTTTTTTCTCAACGCGAAAAGTTATTATGAAATATCTCACGGAAAAAAGTATGATTTCAACTATATTCTTGGTTAATTGCGAAGACAGCAGTGTAGTCACGCCAGCCCTATGGTTGAGTCAGCCAGATGTGTGGTTGAATCAACCATACCTTCAGCTGGTGTACAACCACACTTCTGGCTGGCTCCAAAATCAGCCAGGAATGTAGTTGAAATCACCACATTTTTTGATGTTAGTTTTTAGATCCGTCATTTTTAGATCCGTGATGTTAGAGGCTTCTAATAATGCCAGCCATCCCAACCAGCCAATAAAACTGCACGAAAT